ACCTACCTACCTACCTACCTACCTACCTACCTACCTACCTACCTACCTACCTACCTACCTACCTGCCTACCTACCTACCTACCTGCCTACCTACCTATGTTACCTACCTACCAACCAACCACCGGTTAACGAGTCGACTTTTGAAAAGGTCTTTAGAGGAAATCAAACAAATTGGCAATTACATTACCTACGAAGAAGCCAACGATAGCTCTACAAACCACAAACATCCAAAAATATGGCGAGGCTGCGCTTAACAGGGCGGCTGCAACGACTCCAAGAGCACCAAAGTACGCGACTTTGCGTCTTCCAGTCTTGTCTGATATCCAGCTGAGGATGATGGCACCTAGCAGCCAGCCAGCAAAGATAGAAGAGGATGACACACTCTGTAGAATGGAGTCTTTGCACACGAGGTTCCACTGGTAAAATAGATAGCTATAAACTATTAATAGTGAATAATTGTAATGCATGATGATGAGATGACAGTTGGAGTCCTTGTACAAGACATTCCACTGGCCAAACGAATAACAATGAATTATTAACAATATGGTAGAAAGTAATGATGATGATGATGATGATGTCTCAACACAGGGAACCCATCTCACCTGAGTCACAGCGGAGGTGTAATCGTCAGTGAATTCCCAGTCACTTCTATCTAAGTCACATCTAAAGTTATAATGCTTGCTTGCTGGTTTGTGCACTCCAGTAAGATTACAGGCAGTGCTGTTATCGGCACATCTCCAACCCGGTTCAGCGGCTATGAAGGTTATAAGTAGGGTCTGGAATCCAACCACTGAAAAAGCGCAGAAGACGAAGATGGCAAGTAAACGAAGTTGGTAGCGACCCATGCTGCCGATCTGCTCGAAGGCTTCATCTATTGTGATTGACATTATGCCTTTAGTCCTGTGATGGAGAAAGAATCGACGAAATATATACTGAGACGGTCGGTTGGTCGGTCGGTCGGCCAATATTGTTTTTTAAAAATATTCCCGTCTCATAAAAATATGCGATATCAATGATTATAAATAACTCGGTTCGACTTTCTTTAGATCTGTCTCAAAATTACACTGAATTTGACATTCGTTTGTCGTATTGATATAAGATAAAAATATCACGACATGTAGTTTGTTATCTACAAAATACTAATCATCTCTTTCACGAACCAAAGCACGAAAAGAAAAAGAAAAAATCAAACTACCACAGATTTGAAAGCGTAGATGGGAATATATATAGCTAAAATTTCAGATATTTAGATGAAAATCACAGCCTTTATTACGATAATTATAAATCTAGTCTAACTCGTTAAAAGCAAATATTTGATAAATGTCTTGAGATTATTCGATATTTTTCTTCGAGATTGTGTACCTGTTTTTGCATTTTTTTCAAAAATAGAACAATTATTATTCCATTGTCAAATACCTATTTGTATGACCATAGATTATTGAAAGATTTGTTCACAAATGCTTGATACTTTAGAACACAAAAGAGGTCTTCTCCAACATTTCTGGCATGCACTGGAAGAAGCTTAGACATCAGTCTTTAGGCCACGGAAAAAGGACTTTACAGTAAGATAACAGAAATCCAAAATACGATTTTCAAGCTCATTTATAGTAGTACAACAATATCATCAAACATTTCAGCAGGCCGGTATTTTCCAGCATTAAATGCTATTAGTGAAGTCAGTATTCGGTATGCAAATACGCTATGACACCAAGCCGAGCTTTACTATTATTTGACTAAGATTTTTGCCAAATCATTGAAATTTGTACAAAATCCCTTTAATCAAACAAAAAACAAAAAACAAAAAAAAAACAAAAACGAAATAAGAAAAGAGAAGACCCTTAGGGCTTCAACAAGCTGAAATCCAAAAAAACATTAAAGCACTACGTTCATTGAATCCAAAGTTGGTCGACAGGTTTTATGCTGCATGAAGCTGTAACTATATTGTACGTTTACAAATGCCAATTTGAATTTATTCAGTACGTACATCAGTGATAGGGTCGAAGCAGCGATAGGGTTTCAAGCACTTTATGCTTACATTTAAAACTCATGAATTGAAGTCGTTTTCTAAGACCATTATGTTTACAATCGGACTCTCTAAAGACAAACCTGAAATCAGCTTTCGAAATGATGAGTACGAAAGCTAACTTTATCTTACCTTTATGGCTCCTTTTAGCTTGGTTTCAAGAGTGTCTCAATTGGAAAATTGAATGAAAGACTTCATAGTTACAGGAATTGAGTTGTCTTCGTACGTTTTAACTACTACACTTCTGCTTAGGCCCTCGATCTGTTTTTGACATTTGATTCTAAAATTGAATAATGGCTTTTGGAAGTCCTTAAGCTATTTGTACGGCTTTTGTAATTTGCATATGGATACCAATATATAATAAATAAACTAAGGTCAGTCTCAAATAAACAAACGAAGAAAACTATTAGAAATTAGAAAAAAATATTTAAAAAATTTAAAAAATATATAATAGAATATGCATAAATCTTTGAACCAAAATACGACATTTTACCACTTTACACCAAGATAAGCAGGCTAAGCGTTTCAAAAAATATTCAACCCTGTTTTATAGGTTTATGCGTTTGTGCAGTCGGATTGCTAATATGGTTTAAATTGAGAACAAAAAATTTATAACGCCGGTCAATTTTGAGCCGTGTAAAAGAAGAAACTAAGAACCAATGAACAACCAGAGTGGACAGAATATCATCAATCTTATTTTGTCAATATTCAATCTTATTTTGTCAATATTCAATCTACTTAGGGGGAGTAGACTAAACCATTGACAATGATATAAGTGTACTTAGGTGTATCTGTCTGGTACAATTTTGTACTAATGAGAAGTAGTTATCTATACTAATATTTTCCAAATTTAAGTGAAAGTCATAGCGGCTGAGTCAACAAAATTCATTTTTTTTTTTACGATTAATGCCTAAATTAGAAATATTTGAGAATTTTTTTTAGATGCCGGATCATGACCACAATCTAACTTCCGTTGCATTGGCAACCATAAATTTGGCGGGGAAAATTTCCATTGACACACACAGCTACGTAGATTACATTTTAAGACAATGGCTATCGGTAAAAGATGATAAAGGGATTTTTTTCACTTGTTTTTATGATTTTTTTTTCATTTTGTAGGTAAAAATGTTTTCACGTAAGATTGTGAATAGATTATCTAGTTTGAATAATGAATATAAATATATATATTTTAACGGTTTTTGATAATATTTTCACGTGAGTAAAACAAAGACAAATTACAACGAAAAATTTCAATTCTAATTTTCAGACAGACGGTATTTGTACAGGTGCAAACCACTCACTAAAATTGCCTTTAAATTTTTTCTAAATCAAGCATTCGAATAAGGAATAATTTTTCGGCGAAGAGTCAAGCTAAAGTCAAAACATTGCGACCCATTGCCAGGTAAGAATGACTGATATAGTATCTGATCRTGACAAATAGAGTATTTATTGACTTCTATAGCCACTAGTGAAGCTTTTACGGTTGCCTCGGAAAGTTTGTACTAATTGCCAATTAATGATTAATTCGCGCTTTGCGTAACCAAGGCAACGGATCCGGATAAAAGGCCGCAACGCATCATTTGACCAGCTCCCTTATTAATTTTCCGTAGTTTAAGGTAGTCAGCAATCTAAAATATTGTATTTAAGGAAAGATATATATTACGAATCCTTTGGTTGTTTTTATTAATAATTCTAGATTTGACTTCTGCTTAAATTCTTACGGTTACCTTGACGACTAAAAACGCGAGTTTAGTTTGTGGTAATAATTTTTTTTACAACACGCGATATCAAGCTTCTGAGTTTATTTAATTCCTTTTTGGAACATCTGGCAGGGTAACCGGGAGGCCGAAGTCGAGACAGTTAGAGCTTTCAATTTTCTTCAGTTAACTGTTTCAGACGCTATTTAGGATGCAAATATTTTTTCTCCCTAATCTAGCGCGGGTTTTCCGTCTGTCGTTAACCAAAAAATGTTTGGTAATGAAGCCAAAGTGACTTCGATTCGAACCGATGGGGCCTTGAGTTTCATTCCCGTTTCGGTACTTTATTTCAGTTAGTTTGCCCTCTCTTGCGTTATGGTGTCTCCCAGTTTTCTCCTTCTCCCAAAAGTCAAATAGAATACTCGAAAAACTGAATTTAGGGATTGCCAGTTCGCGCCTTTTCGTCACCTCAAATTTCCTCGGGGATTTACAAAATGGTGTCAGAAGTCTAAAACGTTTCACTGAATGATCCAATAATTTAACTTTTTAATGTCGTGAGTCAAACATTTCAGTGTTTACAAAAGTATTTTAAGATCTTCCGGCAAATTTGTATGATGGGTGAAAAGAATTTTAAAAAATGCGAAAAAAGACAACACGTGGCGAAAGCTATAGCTGAATTCTCAAAAAAAATAAAAAAATAAAAATAAAATAAAAATTAAAAAAATAAAAAAATAAAAATAAAATAAAAATTAAAAAAATAAAAAAATAAAACGAACCATCTGACAAACAAATTCGTGAATCTTTTGGGTGGAAACGTTTCGAGAGAAATTAAAACAACTCCTTTCCACTCGTGGAGCTAAACCATGAGTTTTGAGAAAAGTTTATTTCTCAAGGAAATGGACAGTGCAACACTGGTGGTAAAACTTGTTAAAAGACACCATTAGTGACAAAAGTTTGAAGTAAATTATTTTTGCAGCATGTAAAAGCGCCTCAAAAGGCAGCCAAGAAATTGAAACTCAAAGTCTATGAGATCTGTTCAATATCCAGTACTGTAATTACATCTAATTTTTCAGCTTAACCAGAGAAAAACAAACAGTAGAATCAACTAATTTTTCGCTCTAATTTTTCTTAACCTCTTGATCACTAACCCCAAGTGTTTATAAACGAAAAATGATATCTATATGTTTTACCGGTAAAATGATTTTTATGCTAATATCAAAAATAAAAAAGGAAGTAAAGTAAATTAGTCCTTGAGAGCTTTTGTAGTAAGCTGATTTGTGTTGTGAAAAGTCAAATAATTCATTCGTAAAAATAGTGGATAAATATTCGCTATGTCTCCACATCAAAGAATGACTTAATTCTATTGATAAATACCTTTTCGACTAACTCAGATTTAAAATTTTTGATAAATTTTTCAAACCCAGAATTGCCATAAAGAGTGAATCGTTTGAAACATTTGTTGTGTGTTTTTTTAACTTCGATTGTTCTCAACAGGGTCAACGCTTTGATCTGGATAGTAAAGAGTTAATGTGAAAACCAAGAATTACGTATACTCCGCCCATTCGATATCGATTTCTCTCGGGGAAATTTTTATGTCATTTCTGTGGGATAGAATAAATATTTCATGCCAAACGGGAAAACGGTACATTAATAATCTGAATTTTCAAAACACATGGAACTTTTACTTACTTAGTGATTGCTGTGCTGTCTGTGCGCTACAGCTGCAAAGCTGCCGAAGAAGACTTTAATCTAGGTTTCGAGATGCCTTCCACTAGTTGTGTTTCGAAGTTAAGCGCAAACAAAAGAGGATAATATAGGTTTTGTACAGAATTCTACAAAGCGAATTAGGATTGGAAGATTTGTCAGTTACGTTCAGCGATTGGTTGGTCAAAACTAGAGACATTTATTTATATGCGCTTGAGCTTATTGGTTTACTCAATAAATTAAATTCATTTATAATACCGCTGGGGTAATTATTTTTGAGATGATCAAACAAAATATTGAGAACAGAAGGTACATAAACTTGTCCAAGCTTCAATAGCTGCTGCATCAATGTAAACAAACTTTTTCCTGCCTATTAGTTTATTGTGAAACTCAATATTACTAGATTCAAACTATACGAAAAAAATATTTTTTGGGTCTTGCCATGATATATACTAAAAACGATGTCAATGATGCCAGAGTACAATATATATAATTCATATAAGTTTGAATTTAATGAAAGCCTTTATCAGATATGTATATAGTGACTGTTCAATGAGCAATTTGTTATAAGTACGAATGCTATGGTAATGAGTAGGAAATTAAAACTATGCCAACGTCTGACTGGAAGGGCACTGGTGTCGATTAAGCTGCAAGCTCAGAAAAATATATATGAGAGAGAAAAGCTAGTGAAAGAAAGAATAGAAAGAGGATGGAAGAAAGTGAGAGTGAGTTGATACATAAATAGAGAACTACAAATGAAAAGAAAACGAAAAGAATCAATTGAGGACAGGAAAATGACGAAAAAATTTAAATAATGAACAATTGAAAGAAAGAATTAATGTAGAAAGAAAGGTAATCTATCAAGTCTTTCATTCCCACCCACATGAGGACATGCAACGGACGAAACGTAAATTGAAGCAATTTTTAAGTCTTTACTATGACTATTATTAAAACGGTCAATTTTCATTACTCCTGTCAGTCCTGTCTTTTCCCTATTTATATTGACAATTTACAGCGACGCAACTCAAATTATTAGTTCACTACTGAGTTTGTTCTTGTGTGATGCAGTCTCGGTAAAATTCGCACGGTCAAATATCCACTGTTCAGCGTCGTCGACACTGTCAATAGAGCGAGCGTACTCGTATTTTAAACTGATTTGGTTAATAATATTTTCGTACCAAGTCAAACTTCTACAATCTTTCACAATCTTCTCACTGAATTCACTGAAGTCAAAAGCCAGAGATGTGCGCCTGGCAAAATTTCCCGCCAAATTGCCACAGAAAGTCCACATTTTTTATCAAGATACCATGGGGGATGGGATAGCATTTGTTTTACATTTCCGGCTCAGTCAAAAATAGGAAATCATAAATGGAAACATGTATGAGAGGAATTGAAAGGGGTTTGCTTCTCGGCACGCCACTCTTGCTCACTCAGTACCAACACATTATGCCATATAACCAAGAGAAAGTCCTTTTTGCTCTTGATATAACTGATTCACTCTTCGTCTTTCATTAAATTTTTCTAGTAGCCTTTAACGAGTGTGTTCATATTTTTCTTTCGCTTGCATCGCCTAAATCAACCTGATGTTGTACGTACATAATAACCCCATCCATATCATTCTAAACATTAATTGAAAAAAAAGTACTCGAATTGTTTTACATTATTTCATTGATCATCAAACAAAAACATCAATTCTTAGTCTAAAAAAGTAAGTTCATTAAAAATTTAAACAGCCGGAAAAAAACACTAAATATAGGAACAATAAGGACTTTTTTAAAACATGCGGCGAAAAGACAGGAACTTCGAATTCATTTAAAAGTTTTTCGCTTCCTTGATGAATTTTGATTTAATGAAAGAAATTATTGGAAGTGAAGATGCATTCCAAGGAGTATTTAAACTTTGTGACTGCATATCAGTCTCTCTTTGATCTAAAATATTTCAATTATTCATTATCAAAACACACAGTTTAAAAAGAAAATAAGAAAAAAAAGAAAAAAAAGAACAAATAATTACAGGTCATTTTTGTAATTGGGAGCTAAAAAATGAAAAAATACTAAAAAAAAATGAAGCCATTTCCATGTCAAAAGTTCCAAATTTATGCGCCATTTTTAAAGCCAATCAAGTGTTCAGCTTACTAACTCTAAAGAAGAAAAAAAAAGCTTGTTTTTTGAACCTGACAAGTTCCATGGAGACTACAGAACACACTGAATACTTCAACTCAATAGTCAAGTATTTTATTGATATCAAGCCTGCGGCTCGCTTCTTAGTGATGATGTGTGAACTTCATGAGCCAACAGAAACCTATGTTCAACTTGAACTCTCGTTTTAAAAGTACTAGATCCATCCTTCCATGCGGCTAGACTGATTCTATAAGTCATAGTTTTTGCTTCTTTGCAATTATGGGGTTGTGGTCGCGAAAACATTGCTTCGATATCTTACTATAACGAAACTTCCCGCTTATTGAAAAGTGTGAAATAAATCATGATTGATAACCTCTGAAGTAGGCCTACTATATACGTTGTGTAATCAGTGCATAAGGAGAGGTGGTTGTCTTATTCTAAGCTCAGTCGAGAAATAGAGGAATTCACGAACACTGGTGAAAAACGCACTGCGCACGCTCGGAAATGGCGTAGCATAACTAAGGCAATTTATATTTTTGATGCCGGTGTTTTGATTGTTTTACAAAATCGCAAAACTTAAGAAAAATACTGAAAACTTAAGGTTGTCCTTTTCGCAATAGCAAGATAATTTCGATTGTGACACACTGCTCGGATTTATACAAAAAAACTTTTGTTTRTACAAAGCAAAAATAATCTTTGAAAATGCCGCCACTCGCGGCCCGACGTCGACATCCAGCATGGCTAATTTGCAGATAATCACATGGTCGGATTCTATGTAAAGAAATCCAAAAATATCTGTAAAATTCCAAAACGAATATTTAAAAAATAGCCCTGTCAGTTAAAGTGCCTATCACCCTTCTGACAATATTGTCAGTATTGATTCTACATGGTGTAAGATGTTGAATAACCCGAAAAAATTACATAGTTTGAGTGCGGCTTCTTGAAGTTATGAAGGTTTTTCCATGTCATATGCTAATGCTGTGACGTATGAGGAGGCATTTATGGTTATTTGTTGTTCCTCGTAATTCGAAATACCGGCTTCTATGGGAAAACTAACTTGCAATCATTTCTATAAGAGCAATGGGGAAAACAATGACGTATTTCAAATTTAATTTATCTGTACCAGTAGTGTTTTGTATATTAAATGATTACTCCTCATACGTCACAGCATTAGCATATGGCATGGGTCTCTTATCCCTCCCCCCCTAACTGCAGGGGATAACGGAGACCGACACAAATAACGTCTGCAAAGAGACCGACACCGGACAAGAGACCGACACAAAGGAGGCTACGTCTCCTCGCGTCTTCTAATTTGCATTTGCATTCGATAAATACTAATGAACAAAGGGCGCTTGTGATTGGTCCATACTGTTGCTAAGGGTTTCTTAGTCAAACGGTGCTTTTCTTCAGATCTGAACATAAACCTCCAAGGTAAACACGGTTGAGTCCATATTTACTTTAATTTTCTGGCTCAAAATTACCAAACTCCATAAAATTTGGTTGCTTAGAGCCCAAAGGATAAACCCTGAACATTCAATTATCGTCATTTTCGCTAAGCGACTAATTTCTTAGCGGATAAAAGTCGTCGAAAGTCCAAGAATTTGTGCCATCTTGCGAGCTCATTTGAACTTTCTCGTTCATGTTGTCCTTTCAAGATTGATTATCCAGCTGCTTTTACGAGGCAACACAACAAAATAACATTGCTATTGGATGAGTTATTTCTTCACTCTTTAAAGGATAACGAGGATAATTAAAGGAATTTTTGCTGGTCGTTTGCTACGTCACTTCTTTGTTCACAAGATCAACCAGCTTCGTGGGATTTTTTCCGTCTACAGTCAAGTCGAATCATTATCTTCTCTGCCGTTATTTGTACTAAATATCTTATCTTATTTAGTTACCGAAGACAGAGAGAGCATTGTTGGATTTGGACGCTTTTTTGTACAGCCGGAAATATTGTTGTTTGGAGCCAACATCATTACAAGAATTGTCTGAAGGCAACCGTCTGAAGAAAAGAATTTTTATTGGAGTATTAATTATCTAAACGATACTCCATCTTTATTCTTATTGAAGCTGAATTTCTAAGGGACCGTGGTCATCCTATGAACATAGTCTACAGATTTGCGACCTTTGGAGGAGAAAGATTTCAAAGATTTATTAACAGACTATTTTGGACAAGTTTTGGTTAGAGATGTCGTTGTTTGTGGTCGTTAAGAATGGCTTGCATTGTCGCATTTAGGTTAATCCCAAAAACATGGAAATCTGTTGTTGTTGTCAAGTACAGAGTTTGGCCTACGCACTCAAGAACCTTTAAACGGACAAAAGAGATGTTGTCTGCACACTTCATGGGATAATTCACCTTGGATTGCCTTACAAATATTCAAATTTCGAGATAACCCTTAAACCCGTGAAAAACACCTTATGAATGACATTAGTTTTAGGATTATTGAAAAAATTAAGATATAAGAAATAGATGAAAACATGAACAATAAACCAAATTGGGAATCTAGTCTAATAGCAAAATTTGGAGAGCTTAAAGTAAATTCCAAACCTCCTACTGGGTTGCTAAGGGAAAAGGCCAAGCCGTTGCTGCTAAAACCAGAATCTGAGACAGTTAATGGATTAATAAAGCCAAACTTTGTACCTCACCCCCCTCAGGGGCCTAAGAAAGCAACATCTGTCCCTTCGCCACCAGTTTGCAGTCCTGTTAAAAAGCCAACACCCCCCTCAACAGCTAAAACCAAGGGTACATTTAGGAGAAAGTATTCAAAATCAGAAGAAATTTGGTATGAGGACAGAGTTTCTGGAGATGGAGAAGCTTCTAAAGATGATGACATTTACAGTGAAAAAGACAGTATTTTAGAAAGACAGCCTGGTGATGGATGTTTCTCCGACATAGCTGAAGAAGATGAAGAGGATGATGATGAATGTATGAATGATGATGATGAAGTTGGTGATGAAGAAGATATTGATTATGATTGCGATGGTCTTGAAGAAGAAGAGTTAGGTGAGTGTTCACAATGATTAGAGGCTTTGCAGCATCATGGCTGCCATGTTAGATGACAGGAACAATACAATCGTTTTACATAAAAAAGAATTTAGTTTTCAAGAGCAAATGGATTTTATTGTTCTGCAATCTAACCACAGGAAGCCCAAGCAGTATTATGGGCATGGGCACATGTTGGTGCAAAACCTCTATAGCTCTATGTCACTGGACAATATGAGTGGTCAAGAGTACCATGAGCCTAAGTGGTATTTGGCTGGGCAGTTTAGGTCAAACATTGCATTTTTTTTGCCATAATTTTTGTCAACTACAGAAGAAAATTTATTTTTAAAAAATGTAATTCTCTTGTGTTTTTATTTCAATTTTTCCCATTAAAGTAGATCTTATTTTTATTATATACTGTAGAAGACTTCTCAGAAAATGATGATGATGACAATGCATCAACTTGTACTGGACTATCCAGAACTCCCTCAGCCAGATCACGCACATCAAGTGCAAAGATCAGCATAAATAACTTGAAATCATCCTCTGCAAGAACTCGCACAACAAGTGCATTTGGTGGCAGACAGGTTACCACAGATGTGTCTATTAAACAAGCTAATAATAACTGGGTGCAAGATGGACCTGACGATATCAAGCCTGCACTAACTCCCAGTTTGTTTGCACATATACCACCTACTATCTATTTCACCATCGAGGGAGAGAAAGGTAATAACATATAAAAATTAATCAATTCAATTAATTAATTGATTAAAATGAGTAATAAAAATTTCAGAAATTTTTATTTGAATAATGCCACAATTAAAATCATTGCTTCTCAATCAATTTAGATTGGATTTGTAAAAACCTATCTCTACCTCTTTCTTCTATCTCATTTGCCAACATATTAAAATGTTAATTGGGTGTTAACTATTTTGGGAATCAAGGGTGACAGGGCGATAATGCACTTCACCATTTACGTCTGGGGTCACAGATTCTTATTCCCAGACTCGTTATCACAAAGGAGTTTATTAGGGCTCTACCTTAATTTGAGGTTTTTTTTAAAGGGTATGCAGTATCATCCCTCTGCAAATTCTATAGTAGCAGCGTAGAGGCTGCTTCAGAGTATCGATAAAATTTAGAGGTTTTAAAGGTTGGCCATGATTAAGTAGCACATGTTGTGCTGTTACAGTAACACTTTTCTCTTAAATAATATCCACTGAACGTACAGTACTTGACTACTGTTTTTAATTCATCGTAAACACTACTAATGACGAAAGTCATGGCTGATTAATCAGCAGTAGGCTATCAATCATATAGATAAATCGCTTAAGTATGGTTCCTTAAATTACTTTAGTTTATTTACTCCAAAAAAATTAATATTTGATTGTTGGTAGACTGCCTTTCACAACCTTTCACTTGATCAGAGTGTAAATGTATGACTACAATGTATATAAATCTTCCTCTTTTAAAAATTGTCTGTTTTTTTTATTCAAAGTTGCTCCACTACCTCATGAGCTTCGCAAACTCTTAAGATGGAAGATGAGCTCAATAACACCAAATGTTGTGAAGCAGTGTATAGCAAGATCTGGATTCAGAGCAACAAAAAGTATGCGTTACAACTATTATAATATCTTATACCACTGACGATTGCATCATGGCTAAAAATAACAGTCATCCAACAGACAAATTCTATCGAAACTTGGCACTTTTCTGGCCAAATTCTTTGAAGGTCGTCGTTGCAGCTTTCTTAACTCAGGTCACCTTGACTGGTCACATGTTTCAGATCAGTCCAAAGTGGCTTGTTATCATGTCCAGTCAATCGTGAGCAACCATTATTTTTATGGCCACTACCTTAATGACTGGTTGCGTTTTCTTACTGATTTTGTTTTAAAGTTTGACATTATCAGCTACAATGTAAGCCATGACTGATTTCCATGTCTGATCACTTTAACTTGACATACTTTTCTCCGTTGAATATTCTATAGGACCCAATGATTGGTTAGGTTATTGGGGTAAACACATGAAAGGTACTGCATTCAAAAGTATCAGGGAACATCAGAAGGTAGGTATATACTTTTGACAGCTGTAATCAAACTGATCATCAACTGTAATTATCCAAACAATAGTGCTAATGTATATGTGATGTTAAATTTCTTAATTATCATATTTTTTCTAGGTCAATCATTTTCCTGGAACTTTTCAAATAGGCAGAAAAGACAGGTTATGGGGAAATATATCAAGGCTGATGATCCAGCATGGAAAGAAGGTAAGGAATATTCTCTCAGGGTTCCTATTGTCATGGCAATAGAATAATATGTGTTATTGGGAATGTGGTTCGGGGGGATCTGAATATCTGTTACCAATTGGAGGAATGTCCACATAAGGAAAGTTCAGGGGATCCTTAGACTATGATGGGTGGGACAGTCTTTTTGGATAGGGGACAGCATAGGCCAGCCCTGCATGTTGATAATGATGGACAAAGATGATGTTGTAATGATTATGGACAGTTGATGATACTAATGTTGTGATAATATTTTGATGATACGAGATGATTATACAAGTACTGAATTACTGTACATGCTACATGATGAAATTGATACATGATGATGATAACACAACATAAGTGATAGGTGATGATGATAATACAAGAGGATACTTATACACATTCATTTTATCAATTAATTACTAGGAGTTTGGTTTTCTTCCACAAACATACTGCCTGCCATATGATTTCAAGCTTCTCAAGCGAGCTTGGGATGAGGGTGGTTCAAGGCAAAAATGGATCTTGAAGCCAGTGAGTCAAAAATTATGTTTACTATAGATCATCCATTTTGTTCTTCCTTTCAAATTCTATTGCCAAGTACTTTCCAATTACCTTCATGTACCCTGTCTATCTACACTGTATCTACTCCATCTCTACGTACAGTATAAACCATACCCAGTACTCCTAACACCCACCCCCTCATCATTCCTCTATCCCCTCCTCTCCATTTCCCTTTGATGGAATTTTTCATAATTGTTGTTTTGTCCATTGTAATAGATTATTTTCAAAATTATCTCGAATGTGAGACAACATGAAAATCAAAAAAAAAAAAAAAAAAAAAAAAAACNAAAAAAAAAAAAAAAAAAAAAAAAAAAAAAAAAAAAAAACTCCAACAAGAAAAGTCTAATAATTTTAAGAAGGGTCCATTGGATTAGCAGGGTGCTTGCATTTACACATGTGACATGATTGAAACTAAATAAATTTGTAATTTTGGTTTTGTTTAACAGCCAGCGTCAGCTAGGGGTATTGGAATTAGGGTCATTCATAAGTGGTCACAAATACCACGAAAAAGACCAGTCATAGTTCAAAGGTCAGTCATTTAATAGAGATCCTTTTAGCTTAAGCACAATGACATTTTCTCATTTCAGAACCACGTGTCTTCCCCTAGATAATAAGATTAGTTGTTTGAGTTCCCACTTCGTGTAGAGGACAATTTAGTTTATGTAATTCAATAGTCAAACAAAAGAATTTCAAAGATCAAAAAGGAAAAATTTTATTAACAGTGTCTATCTCTTTTGCTTTCATAGATATCTTAGTAAGCCATTTCTAATTAATGGCAGTAAGTTTGATCTGCGCATCTATGTTTATGTCACATCTTACGACCCTCTTCGGATTTACATTTTTGAAGATGGCCTGGTACGATTCGCTACTTGCAAGTAAGTATCCTACAAAATATCTGTTATACTACTTGGTGTTGGTTTTGAAATGGCCTCTGCTAAGGGACCTATCACAAAAAGCGAGAGAATAGTCCATTTGCAACAAAAAGTCACGTGCTCATATATCACTTTGATAACGAATCAACTCAGCCATAGGTCCCTTGGGGAAGGCTCAGCTGGATGTCAAACAAACTTTAAATTGCTTCATATCTTGAAATCGAAAGTATCTCATTAAGGGAAAAAAAGTATTTTGAAAAAGTTTTGGATACGACATAGAACTCCAGCAAAAGTTATTTAAATAAAGGAAGTCCAATTTGTTATTCCATCCAGTAACAGTCACGTGATTATTTCCTGCAAATGGCTTATTTACCTGTTTAGAAGAAAAGCGGAGTTTCTTTTTTGTCAAACAACAGAAAGTGATGCCAGAGTCTCACGTTTTAGATCGAATTAGAATGACAGCAAATGCAGTGAAAGAATCCGCATAACCTAAAGACTGAAAACGCCTTACAGCACAGCTGCAGATAAAATAGAATAACCGCGACATTTCTTCTCATCTACTTATCTATAATTGCTCTAAATTTGCAGAGTATTAATTTGAAAAAAGTAAAAATCAACATGTGAGTTGAGCGTTGTGTGCATAGAATATTGAATGTAGTGGTAGTGTGTGTGCGTGAAAAGTGTCCCCAATTAGTGCGAAAACGCTAGAACGACTAGACACTTAAAAGTGATTTTTTWAAATTATTTTTTTTATTTTTCTCACCTTCTCACCCAACTTATACCGAATACTTTACTTCTATTAGGTATTCTTCATCAGTCAAGTCACTGAGCAACAGATTCATGCACCTTACGAACTACAGTGTGAACAAGAAGAACGAGGGTGCATACCAGCCAAACTCTGATGACACTCTTTGCCAAGGACACAAATGGTGCGTATAACTAAATGAATTTATAGCATAGCTACGAAATAACGCGCGCTCCAATTGGCTGGCTGACCATTCCTTAGCGTGCAAGCTGCTGCACTTTCGCAAGTGTGAATGATCACTTGATGTTTGCGCTTGAAAAAGACTATATTTTCACTGAAGAAGCGCTCGCCGCATAAGCAATAGAAAGTGCGCCTTCTTGTGAGTGTGCTGTGATATAAGCATCCTGGAAGCTGTAAGGCATGAGAGAAGCAAGCTAAGAAACATCAGACAAGTAATCTCTTTGCTGCTAAAGGTTCTTTCCATCCACGGTACAAAAGAAAAAGCAGTCATTTTTTATTAAAAAATTATAGAATATTTTTTACGGTTTTGTATAGGTGCGTCTTTTTCTCCTCTGATATGATAACGGTAGGCACGAAACAGCAATATGCACGATACGTCTCAATGTCATTTGACGAAATACAGTGCAACTCTCGTTATAGCGCACACCCTTGGGACCGTCACTTGGTGTCCGTAATACCAAGCGCCGCGACAACGAGAGTTGATTACGGTCATTTCTTTGCCAGTATTTTTTCACCGAGAATTTTGCTTTTGCCCGTAATAGTGAGGTGTCCGTGATATCTGGGTGTCCGCAAGTCGAGAGTTGACTATATTGAATAATCGCGTGAATGACTTTTCTCAGGAAAAGTAAGGTATAGGCACGTTCGTATTTTGTACGAGCTTAACCAACTCCTGGACGATACGTGTTTAAATAAACAATTGATTGATTGATTGATTGAGGCATTTATATTAAAAACTGATAATGTTAAATTTTCATGTAACGACAGGAGTTTGAAGTCTCTTTGGGGCTACATGAAGAAGTTGGGTATAAACCATGCAAATGTATGGGAAAACATTAAAGATATCATCGTGAAGGCCATTATTGGGTAAGGTTTTGTTCCAAGTCCCCATAATGTGATCTCGGCTCGGGCGTGATGTTTTTCCATCTGACCACGTGTCATTACCTAGAGTATCATTTCTTTGTTTAACGGATGCACTCGTTTGCACATAAGAATATGAATATAATATGGATACAACTCGAACAGTTAATGTTATTCTCAAGGGAATGACACGTGGTCTGAAATGGGACAACATTATGCCCGAGCCGAGGAAGCTAGGGAATGACACGTGGTCTGAAATGGGACAACATTATGCCCGAGCCGAGGAAGTCTATATACTGTAGATAATGTCGTTAAATACCTAGCCAAACAAGAAAACATGTTCCCAGAAGCATGTTTTGTTTTAAAATTGTTTACTAAAATGTCAGGAGATTTCACATGCGGCACGGATACACGAAATGCTTCTCCCGTACTGTAAAATCATATTTTTTCTCGAAAAACGGAGAAACATCGAGGAAACACACGCTGTTGATACAGGTTTCCTGGTTTAACTGGTAATCTGCAAGCGGCAGCGGCAGTAAGTAAGTCTATACGATAGTAAATAAGTCATAAGTCATTGGCTAGCATATGGATAAAGGCTAGGATAGATAAATGCTAGGATATATTTGTCAAAACGTTTTTTTATTTGCGGTTGAATGAAGAAAGAAACGAATATGTGAGTGAACAAATTAATGAATGAATGAATGAAAAATTCATTGGTTGAATAAGAAAGGAATTCCTTGGAAACACACGTTATTTGCCTTTTGTGACGTCAGTGCGCGTGCTCGGCAGTAACGCCTGAAAATGGTCTTCAGACAATTCTTCAGAAAACGCCTCTAAAAGGTCTTGAACCCAGTACGTTTGTTTTCCCTTCAGAATCTATATCTGGGGGGAGAGGGCGCGGGATTTAAGACAAAGAATGAAAACGAGATACTTACATTATTGAATAATAATTTATTACGGCATTATTGGTTTTTTAGGTCTGAATCATTTGTTAACATTTTAGTGAAGCAAAACGTCCGAAGAAGGTAGGTTGATGTGTAGTTCGTCGCGTGGATGTACCGCTTCTATTGACTTTCAAATGTCATCTGGAAGACGTGAAATAAAAGTTGTTTGAAATGTAATTTATCGTAGATCATGTTGTCATGAGTTGTTTGGCTGCGATGTAATGCTGGATGAAAACCTGAAGCCTTGGTTATTGGAAGTCAACATTTCACCCAGGTTTGACTACAGTATTTCTCTTCTCTTCTCTTCTCTTCTCTTTTTCTCTCTTTTTCTCTCTTCCTACTCTTTTTCTCTCTTCCATTCTCTTCCTCTCTCTTCCATTCTCTTCCTCTCTCTTCCACTCTCTTCCTCTCTCTTTCTCTCTCTTCCTACTCTTTTTCTCTCTTCCTCTCTCTTCCTCTTTTTGCTTTATCAATACGTTTATTTATCTTTTTATCAACACTTATACATTTACACCTGTGTTTCTCAGTTTGCATTCCAACTCGCAATTGGATCGAAACATCAAAGGTCAGATGATCAAAGATCTTATGAACCTTGCGGCGTTTCGTATCCCAGAAAACCTTGTCACCACCACAACAGCCAGGTAATTTACACAAATGTATAAAATAACTGTTATGAATCTCGCGTTCTGATTGGATGGGAGCGCGTGCTTTATGAGAGGACACAGCACGCGCGCGCAATTTTAGTTGCATCATTCCTATTCAAAAAAACGGTTATTGAAATTTCTTTTTTATAAAAGATATAAAAAACTTGCTTGCTGTGCTGTGTGGAGTTATAAAGCACTTGGGGATTGGCAAAACACTCGAAAAGTGTCGAGGAGCACTACGTTACGCATTGTGCTTCTCCTAACACTTCTCTCGTGTTGTGCCAACCATCCGCGTACTTTATGACTGCACACAGCACGCGCGCGCGTTTTCTATTTCTTCACCATACCATGTTTTTTTAGCTTTTTAAATCTACTATCCAGCTTTATCAATTTTCTTTTATTAGCTGAATATACTCCTCGAAAAATCATTTTTGAGTCCTTGAATAGTCCTTGAACCAGTGAATACCTCAACACGAACCCTGTCCCAACCAATCAGAAGACGAGATTTATAACAGTTATTTTAGAATGTTCAGAATCACTGAGAAGAACTTCGTTCATTATACTCTTTATGCTTTACCATGTTTTAATTTTATTGTTTTCGTTGTTATCAGCACCAGTAGCCTCAACCTGTTCGTACAAGACAAGGTTGGTCCTGCACTGTCTTCTGATGAACGGGCAAAGGTAATATAAACTGATACATCTCTATCTCCCACAGGAAGCCCAACTGGTTCCAGTCTGGGATTTGTATAAAGCAATGCTTGGGACTTTGTCAGCCTGTGTTTGCTTTAGTCTGGTCTTATGATGGATAGGATATATGATGGATAGCTCACTAGTGAAAAACGTTTGCGCAAGTGCACATGGCATGTGCAGACGTTTTGGACTCATTTCTATTTTTTGTACTTTACCGTCAACTGTTGCCACTGCCAACGGAAATATCCCCGAAAGGTCCAAAACTGACTGTGTACTGTTTTATATTCTCTTGGTTTCCTAGTATGTAGTATGTTTCACAATATTCTAATTAGTGTTTTTATTGGCTTCCTCTCAGCATGCATTCTACACCAAGAAGAATATAGATGAGGTAAGGTCGATGTTTATGAAGTTATAATCCGTTAGACGGACGCGTAGATGCATACAAGGACGTATGCATTAATGAACAAGTCAARCAGCAAACGAAAGAATTATTCGGAAGTATTATAATTATAATTTTTCTTAAATATTATCTTCATCCTTCAGAGAACCAAGCAAACGGTTTTAGACATCTTGACGCCAAATGATGTTAGGATATTAGCAGAAACAGAAGATGAGGTACGTAATGGTCAAGAGAAAATTGTATTGGGATTCCTGCGTAGTTTGGGATACCTTTGGTTGTGCATGCGCGCGCATTGTACTGTGAGGAGGTCGAGTCGACCACGAGCAAAGAAAATAAACCGGTGTCTATGTTAATATGGTCTTCGGAATTGTTCATTCATTCGTTTACACTCTAGCGTCATATACTCTGAGCTTGGACGTTACTACCACTGCCACTGCCACCACCACTACCACTACCCTTACCACTGCCACTACTACTACCACAACCACTGCCACTACCACTTTCACTGCCACTGCCACTACCACTTTCACTGCCACTGCCACTACCACTTCCACTTCCACTTCCATTGCTACCACTAGCACCACCATCACTACCATCATCAACGCCACTGCCACTACCACTACCACTACCACTACCACTACCACCACCACCACCACCACTACTGCACTACCACTACCACTACCAACACCAACACCAACACCACCACCGCCACCACTACCACTGCCACTGCCACTGCCACTGCCACTGCCACTGCCACTGCCACTATCTATCCACAAGTACAAGAATAGAACCAGTGCCCCGACCTGTATCAGTGAATAAGGATATGAATAAGAATAATAGTATTCTACACTACGCTACCCTTACCACATCTTTGCATATTCAACCTATGGAGACTTTGTGTTTAGTGATGCCTTACGTTCTTTTGTGAATGGTTGCACTGCAATGATTAACAATCCATTTTTTCTTCTTATTTAACAGTATAATAGACGTGGTTGTTTCCAGAGGGCGTTCCCTTCAATGGCTTCTCACAAATATCTGAAGTTTTTCCAAACGATTGTAAGTAGAGAGGAGAAAAGTTCAGCCCGTGGTTTATATCTGTGAAAAAAAAAAAAACCCGGGGGAGTTTTCACTCGGATCTCTAGCGTCCGTCTGTTTTGTCATAGTTGGATAAAGCGTCTCGTCTGTAAACACTTCAACTTGTACAGTCAGAGGGAGGCAAGCTTTTGTAATCGAAGCCTTTATCCAGTTTTAATATGCTATTCCAATATGGTTATGGAACCTTTATTTAAACAGGGTGGCCCATTCAGCTAAAAGCTGGTATCCAGAGGGGCCCTGTAAAATACTAGATTAAGCGTTAAAATACTTGATGTAGTATTAAGAATAGAGCTTTTGCACCGTCATGTGGCGGCAGCCATGTTCGATGACAGGAACAATTGAACTAGTCTAGGAATAATTCAGTTTCTTAGGGGAACACTACTCTATTGAATGCTGTACGTCAGTAACCTACTGTTTTTAATATTCCTTAATATACCTGTTGTAAATATTCCTTGACAGAGGTATAATGATGTTTTACTCGATGAATGGACAAGAAAGTACATGAGAGAAGGCAGAAGTACTCTATTAGGTAAGACAATAAATGTGCATCAAAAATAGAGCTATTGTTTTTACTCCTGCTACTTATATTTTCCTGTCTTTTACCATGGACTGTTTCTTTGAAAAATGGGGCGGTGCGTTGGAAGGTGATGGAGAAAGGTTGCATTTTGATTTTTTTCGTAATTATGTTTCTATATCAAAGGTGTGTCACTTCTGCAAGCATTAACAGAACAGAAAATACATGTTGGGACAACGAATGATCCTGCACATCAAGTAAGTCTTCATGGTGCCCACGAAAAAGACGCACGCTAATGGGCTGTCTCAAAGTCTAGGGCATCATCCCCAACCCCCATGCACCCCCTGGAAAACAGGAAGATTGTGCATGTCACTGCTGTGTTGTCCGTGCCGTGCCGTTGGTGATAGTTTTCTATCTATGTAATACCATACCTTTACCGTGTCATATAAGTGTCACATGAATTAGAACAATCATGGCACGGCAACGGTATGGAAAATACAACATCAGGCTAGAGTACTCTTTACATCCAGGATGTACTTAAACACCTAGAAAGTGTAGTTGGCGGTGCCTATATAACGTGAAGGATATACTTTTAAAGTGTTATTGTTACTTGCTATTGTAGTGGACGTGTCCTCAGGGTGTTTCATACAGATCATTATCATCACCACTAGTGGGTGTAGTAGCCTAACGTGAAGGATACATTTTTCAAGTGTTTTTGTTACTTGCTATTGTAGTGGACGTGTCCTCAGGGTGTTTCATACAGATCATTATCAGCACCAGTAGTGGGTGGAGAACATGGAGTGTTAAAACCAAGGTAATTGAATAGCGTGTGACGATTTTTTAAATTTTATTTCTTAGAATAAGAGGGTTTTCGTGCCGTGTGCGTGCTGTAGAGTAGTTTTCGTATGACTGTTGAAAAGTCGGTGCCGTATGCGTGCCTTGCCGCGACCGTGATGTTTCTTGAATTTTGATTGGGGGATTTTTTTCTCGTGCAATCTACATCTACCTACTTTTTCTTCTTGCACTTTTCTACTTCTTGGCAAAGGATGCACTCTGCTCCTGTTAATTCAAAGGCAAGACAAGATCTCTTGGTTTGTAGAACTCGACCTATCAGGTACTTGCACAATGCATGCTGTTCTCCTCACTTATCATATTTTTCTTTTTTCTTACAAAAAGAAAAGAAAAGAGAAACGGGAGTGTTCGCTGCTAATGTGCTGTCTCCCATGGCTGTGGTTTCTCTGGTTTTTCAGGCCTTTTCCCTTGAGATTCAACTTATAATTCTGTTTGACTCAGTAGAAAAATTACAGCCACTCTCTGGAACTACTAATTCTCTTCTTATTTTCATTCATTTATTCAATTTTCCTTGGAATCAATGAATCTCAGTATTAATTATTGTCTTACTCTAATTTCTTTTTCCTACTCACTGTCTATATGCACACAGTAGTATTGTGCGCAAAGCCAAATCATCTCACGCCAGAGGGAGATTTTCTCCTACTAAAATATCAAGGTACTGTTGCATGTAGTGATGGATATTTTTTATCAATATCCCTGCATGTATATACGCCTTCAAATCCTTAGAATCCTTAGAAGGTACTATTGCATGTAGTGATGGATATTTTTTATCAATATCCCTGCATGTATATACGCCTTCAAATCCTTAGAATCCTCATAAACTCTTATTCTTTATCTTACCTTTGAATACCAAGGTACTATTGCATGTAGTGATGGATATGCTTTATCCATATTCCTCCATGTATATATACACATTCAAATCCTTATAGAATTCCGTTATATTCTTATTCTCTAATTCAGTGATGGTTCCTTGTCAGTTTTGTTTAGCAGTTATCTCAATCTACTTTTCTTTTCTTTTGTTTCCACTGTCTTGTTGGAAGTACTAGGAAACTCAGATTTTCTCCAAGGCAAAAACCAAAGTCAGCTCCTCTGAAGAAAAACGCTAAAACACATTTTGAAAAGCCAAGAGCTTCAAGGTCTGTCATCTTCCTTCCTTCCTTCCTTCCATTCCATTCCATTCCATTCCATTCCATTCCATTCCATTCCATTCCATTAGAAAATTTCCACGAAAATTTTCTTTTCAATGAAATCAATTTTCACATAGACTCTCCATAATATTCTTGTTCCGAAACAAGATGGCTTCCGTGAAACCCCTATATTGATAAACATGAATGACCATGTTTTTTATCTTTTATTTCGTTCTTAACCAGCGCATCAATGCCAGTGTTACTTCCAAAGATCAAGAAGAAAGCCAGTAAGATGAATCTACACAAGGTATATATGATTATTTGTAGCTCATCACGAGACAATTACAAAATGTCATGATTCTTATACATTTCTTGGTATTCATTTTAGAATTCAACCGCTGTTGAGAAGAGTCGCAGCTTCAGAATGAAATCCAAACAAACTATATGACTAGTACAGGGGAGGAGGTCGGCGCGCAATCCACCCTACCCCTGCCTCCCCCCGATACCGTCCAAAACTCTACTCGAGGGAGAGGAACCGTTTGTTGCGCATAACCATGTGAACTGTACAGTTCTCTCCTGTCCACAGAAGAAACTGATTCATGACCTAATAGAACGTCTTCATCGAACGGTTTTCGAACGAGGTCGATATATTTTTAATGAAAAAGAGTAATACAGAATGTTATTTAATAACCAATTTTACATATTTTAGGAAGTATTTTATATAAATATATATATTCATAGTGTGACAAGCTAAAAAAGTTTTTGAGTGTATAGCTAATTGCAAAAATTAAAAAAATTAAAAACATAAATATGTACAAAAAACTCGTACGTTGTAAATAAATGAGATATAATAGAACATGTCTTGATTTCGAATATATATATTTTAATTGCCCTAATTCACTATGACGTCACTGCTTGTTTATGTGGGGGATAGAATCGCCAAATCCAATAGAAAATTCAACAAAATTTGCTCCTAGCGAAACAGTTTAATCTAAAATGGTCTGGTTTTCAGATATAATGTGTTAATATGTACTAAAAAAAAATATTCTGAGCGTTTGATGGCTATTCTTCTCTTCGTGGATTGATACGGGTTTTAGAACAATTTTCGGTGAATTTGCGTTGATTACCCCGTAAGACGATCATGATCCTTTGCGTTTAAATAGTAGATTGTTGAAGATTGTTTTGATGTGACGTCATAGTGAATTAGGGCAATTACTCCCGAGGAGTGTTTTTACTCGAGCAAAGCGAGAATTTGGCGAGCGTTGGGAGCGAGCGACAAATTCGCGAGAAGTCCGTCGTACCCGAGTCAAGATACGCGCACAAAGGGCGGCGGACTTTGTGAAAGTCTATAGAGCCACTGCGAAAGTCTAGAGAATCACGGCTTTCTGTTTTTAGTAAAATTCTAGAAAAACCAATGCATGTATGAAAGACTGATGTTTTTCTTTGAAAAGAGCGATTTCCTCTACAATAAACAATTTACAACACTTATAATTTAATTCTCTTAATTACTGATAAAATGCAAAGAGCCATTGATTCAGGGATTCATTGCCGTGGTACATTCCTAGACTTTTAATTGTAAGGCCTTTGATACTGTAAATCATGAAATCCTGATCAATAAACTATCAAACTATGGAATAAGGGGCATCGCCCTAGTCTGGTTTAAACCCTTTCGTATTAACAGACACAAATATGTATCTATTGGTAACACTAGCTCTGATTACCTTCCTATCCCTGTGGTGTTCCGCAAGGTTCAGTCTTAGGCCCTTTGCTGTTCTTTTGTATATTAATGATTTCTCCAAATCTACAAAATTTTTAGATATGCTTCTACTATTAGACTTCTTTTCATTCTTTAAAAAAAGGTAAAAACCACTGACCCTTCTTTCAACTTATTCTCTTTCAGATCCTGTTTAATAAATATATTTTTTCTCTTTGTATGTGAATGTTTGTGTGTGTTTTTCATTTTCTTTTCTTTAATGTGTGTGGTTTTTAGCGCGCATACATATGAATTAGGGTAGTGAGTGGGTAGTGTTTTCAAAATTGAAACTGAAATTTCAAGTCTTTTTATTATCTTCGCGCATCCATAAAGTAAATGAACAGCAATAAATACCAAAAATAGCCTTAATCCTTGAATTCATTGTCATAGAGAGATATATTTTACTGTTGTTTCTTGAGGAATTCTTCACAGCATCGATAGCAGTGTTTATACATAACTTCAAAGTCTTCTTCATTGCCATAGTAAGGATCTTGGATGATTTCCTCTCCTTTTGGGTCGTAATTACCAAATAACTCAACCTTTGCCGTCGCATCTTTCGGCCTGAAATCATCGAGGTCTTCAACATTACTTTCATCAAAAGCCAAAATCAGCTGAAACTTCCTAAAATCATCAGGACAAACTTGTCTTGCAAGGTGCTCGTTTGGGATGCCGTGGCGTTTTAGAATCGATAGTCCACGAGGGTCGGATCGTTTGCCAACATGCCAGTCCCCGATCCCAGCACTATCAATGATCCATTGACTTTCCTTGCCTTGCTGTTTGACTAAGTATCTTAGTATTGCCTCTGAGGTAGGGGAACGGCAGATATTTCCAAGACATACGAATAATACCGACATCTCTGGGTCCGCCATTTTGAAATCATACAGAAACCACAGGAAACCCAGTATGATTTCCATTACTAGCACTGTGCATTGGTAAGTTTACGAATTTATGAAAGCAAAACTTTTCGTAGTTATTGAAGCCTACTACTTATAAAAAGATTTAATTGAATCAATAAATCAAATTTAAACTTGATTAAATTCAATTAGATAAATTTTGACCCACTCAAAAATATATATATTGATTAATTGTAAGTTCCCTCCATTAATAGCCAAGTCATGCGTTAATAAAGAGGTAAATGATGTTCTATTTCTCTATTGTTTTATTATTTTTGTTTTGTTTTTTGTTTGCTAGTTATTACAACAAATCAAGGTTGCGCTTCCTGTGTGGAAGCGCGCGCATCGAAAGCAATGACTACCGCTGAACTTTTTTGACAATAACAAAAAAGGAAAAAGCATGTAAAGATGGCGGCGACAAGCGACTCTAACACGTCAAATAATACTACCTCTGATCCCTCGAAAAGACCAGGAAATTCACATATGACGCCTTCTGACTTTAGTAGACCTGTTAATCTACAGAGAATCGCCCAAAAGAAAGAACAAGTCAAGTCCTTCACCAGGAGAAAAAAGCTTGAAAAGCTTGGCGTGTATTCAAGCTGTAAGGTAAGCTTAATTGGTCATGAATAATTTATGCCAAAATCTATTAACCTTATCGGGGATTTTCGATAATTATGAGGAATTTATGGGGATCAGTTCGTATTACCTCTTTCTATAGGCAGTCTTGTTATGCTTATTTAAAACTTGATGACAATAAGAAAAAAATTCCCTGAGTTAAGTAAATTAATTTGAATAAGAATTATAAAATAATTGGGATACTACGCGCACTATGATTGGTCGAAAACCATGTTTGATGAGAATATCAAAACACGCTATCATCATTTTAGCATACGCGATTATTGCAACTGTCAGATTTTAATCTATCGTGCACGCTCATTGGTCAGTTTGAATAAGATGGCACATAAGGCGAATTTACTTATACTTTGCTTTAGATCTTTTCGCGCGTTTGTTATTTTATAAAACAGATCAAAAACAGTTTTCCGTGTACTCTGATCAAAACACTTGGGATGTTGGGAGAACACTCGAGAGGTTTCCTACATTCCTCTCGTGTTCTCAGAGTATCAAACACGGAAAACTATTTTTGATCTGTTAAATTTAGCTTAATCATGTTAAGTTCACATAAATTGCTTTCAGATAAAAATGTGTGAGGGTGATGTAGCTCACTTACATGTACATGAATTGGGTCAGACTATCAATAAACTAACCTGTCAGTCATAAGTTACATACATAATATGTAATGTAGAATCCAGGTTATAAGCACCCCTCCCCTCCCCTCCAGTTATAACTCCTTTGATTGTAAGCCCATCTGCCTGCTAACAAAAATTTTTAATAGTTCAGATTTCAACTGTTTTTTCCTCCCTATTAGGCCCCCAATTGTAAGCCTACCTTGCACTCAAAAATCCTTACAAAGTTGTATAAGCCAAGGGCTTGTATAACTGCGATTCAACAGTATGACTTATCAATGACAGTTAAAAAGTCAATATCATTTGACAATCTGTCAGTCAGTCAGTCAGTCAATCAGTCAGTCAGTCAGTCAGTCAGCCAGCCAGCCAGCCAGCCAGCCAGCCAGCCAGTCAGTCAGTCAGTCAGTCAGTCAGTCAGTCAGTCAGTCAGTCAGTCAGTCAGTCAGTCAGTCAGTCAGTCAGTCAGTCAGTCAGTCAGTCAATCAGTCAGTCAGCCAATCAGTCAGTCAGCCAATCAGTCAATCAGTTGCATTTTTTTATTTCCACTAGGCTGAGGAATCTTGTAAATGTAATGGTTGGAAAAATCCCAATCCTCCACCAACCCCTCCTCGTCTTGACCTATCTCAACCACTGGCCAGCCTTACTGACCCATGYCGCAGTTGTAACCATCCACTAGGGTCCCATATATCACATCTACAAAGCTTAGAAGAAGATGAACTTGACAGGTGAGACATATCATAAGTATAAAATTAATGTTGGGTCATACAGTACAATCATCTTCACTATTAATTAAACATAATATACTACTAAATTAAAATATGAATTATTATGCCGTAAAATTAAACCATATACAACGAGAAATCTTAATTCTTGGAATCAAGAGTGGTATATAGTGATAATGAGCACCTACCTCTTAACTTTTGGGTCTCATGATTGATTTCATGACTGAGCACCACATGAGAGAGTTTCTGAGGTCTCTCTCTTGATTCAAGGGTTTTTCTCTGGTTCACTAATTTTCCTCACTCTGCAAAACCTAACATACTAAATTCCAATTCAATCCTTGAGTAAGTCATGCCCTGATTGACTGGTTGTTTGAGTTAGCTGTGCCCTGACTTAGATCAGTCCACCCAGAGGTTGTTTTGGGGTTATAATAAAATTAAAAGCCCAGTCTGTGGTTTGATTTTAATGGAAATATCATGAAGGCATAGCAGTCATCTTGGTTTACATCCCAATAGAAGCACATTATTTAGCTAAATGATGATTTTGTTTTTTTACTGTAAATTGGCTAATACATACAGTACCTGGGGGGGGGAGATATATATCACTTGCAAACCATTAATTGACAGCACTGCAATATCAGCAGTTTGGTATGGTCAGGTGATATATTAAAGCTTAGTTCTCTTACCATTCAGGTTGCTCTGCATGGTGGTTGACGTAGAGAACTTATTCATGTGTGTCCACAAAGAAGAAGACCCTGACACTAAACAAGTCTACTTTTACCTCTTCAAACTCCTGAGGAAATGTATTCTTCAGATGTCAAGACCTAAAGTCGAAAGTTCACTTGGTACACCACCTTTTGAGAAACCAAGTATTGCTAAGGTACTGTAAAGGCTTTATGTACTGCACAAGGAATCTTATTATTATAATATATCATGAATACCTCCAGTCAACATCCTTTATATATCAATATAAGACAGTTGTTTATTATTTCTAACATCCCTCCTAAACAAACGTCTTATGATTTCAATGCTGCTTTATTGCATGTAGTTATTGTTTTTGAAAGTAATAAAAAATGTACCAAACAACATTCATCATATCAAAATATTTAAAAAAATATTATTTAATTTATAAATTGCTTGTATGTCTGTTAGGGCTAAAAAAGTAATTGCTGGCCAATGAACAATGTCCATTGAAGAGATAGAAAACAAGTGTTCATGCTGTGTGCAGTGTCATGTGCAGTTATAAAGCAGGTGGGGTTGGCAGAACAAGAGAGAAGTGTAAGGAGAAGCAAGACTCGTAGCAGAGTGCTTCTGGACACTTCTCAAGTGTTCTGCCAATCCCCAAGTGCTTTGTAACTTCACACAGCACAGCAAGCAAATTTTTTATTTCGTTTATATAATACAAATTAGAAATGACACAACTGAAAGTGTGCACATGCTGTTTTCTCTCATAAAGCATGCACTCCCATCAATCAGAAGGCAAGATTTATACCAATTATTATATGATCAAATTTAATGGCACTTGTATGGCATGGGATAACAGTTCAAAAAAATGTGTTGTGTCTTTAGGCTGTCCTTAACTTTGTCCTGCACAAGTTTGGTCACCTTCCCCAGCGAGAATGGCAGATAATGCATGATTTAGCCAAGATGTTCTTACACTGTTTGAATCACTGGAAACTGGAGACTGTATCAATGAAGAAACAACAATCACAAGGGGAGCATATTGCTGCTTATAAGATCAACTACACCAGGTAGAGATTGAAGGCATTGATGCTGATATGGGACCACTAATTTTTTATAGGCATTTGGGGGATGGGGGG